AGACATGTGAAGAAACTGAGCTGTCCTATAACACTTCGGTCGATCTGCCTGTTCTGTTCCTGGCTGTCTCTGGTGAATCCTCTCACCCCCGGCCCCACACCTCTGGCCTATACCCCAGTTCTTTTATGCATAATAAATAAATCTTTAAAAAAAATGAAATAAAGTTTTTTTATTAACAGCACAGCCAAGATTAGAGGTGTTTCCTCAGTATATTTTTTACTGTTTCCCTTTCTGAAATCAGGTCCTAAATTTAAAATAATAAAATGATCAAGGCATATATTACACCAAAATCTTGGCATTCCCCAGACAGGTTTGCTTCCTCACTACAAGGCATTCATAAGTCAAAAAAAAAAAAAAAAAAGTAAGAAGGGATGCTAAAAATATTTAAGTATATATATATATTTTTAAAGATTTAGTTTATTTATTTATACAAGCACTGGGTACAGTCAGAAGCACCGGAGGGTGAGAGAATTCACCAGAGCCAGAGCGGGGAGCAGAGCAGGCAGAAGGACCGAAGGACACTGCTGAGGGGGGCAGCGGGCGGCAGGAGAGGTCTGCGCGCCATGTGGGACCCTTCTCCGGTGACCGGGGAGCAGCCGGGGATCGAGCCGGCTGCAGAGGCTGCGGGAAGCTTCGCAACCCATCGCTCAACCGCTGCGCCACCGGGGAGGCCCTATTTAAGTATAATTGACATGCTCCATGTTTTTAAATTTAGCTTATCAGAATTAGAAGAACTATCCAGGGCCTCCCCGGTGGCGCAGCGGTTGAGCGCTGGGTTGCAAGGCTGGCCGCAGCCTCTGCGGCACCGGTTCGATCCCCGGCTGCTCCCCGGCCACCAGAGGAGGGTCCCACATGGCGCGCAGACCTCTCCTGCCGCCCGCTGCTCCCCTCAGCAGTGTACTTCGGTCCTTCTGCCTGCTCTGCTCTCTGCTCTGGCTCTGGTGAATTCTCTCACCCTCCCGTGCTTCTGACTGTACCCAGTGCTTGTATGAATAAATAAATAAACAAACAAATAAATAAATAAATAAAATCTTTAAAAAAAAAAGAAAAAGAAAAAAAAGAAGAACTATCCAGTTCATCGTGTTCATTATACAGACAAAGATGTTAAAGCAAAGAGTGGCATTCATCCTTGCTAGATGATTGTATACAAAGTAAAGGGTTGTGGCTATGAATATTCAGTGATTGTGGACCTTCCCAGGCAGATAAAAAACATATTCATGTGCAAAGGCTTACATGATGATTATCAACAAATTTATTTCAAGGTGATTTTATTCCTTAGTTTAAAATAACCCTGTATCAGCAGTAACTTGTGATGGTAATTTTGGTGTACATCTTATGAAGTGCACTGTGAGAACCTCAAGATTCCAAAGTACCTCCACAGACCATATCACCCATAGGGCTCAGACCAATAGAAAGGACATGCGAAATTATTAAAAATAAGTCAGTTAGGGGCCTCCCTGGTGGCGCAAGGGGTTAAACGTCAGCACTAAGAAGCAATGTGCAGCTACTACAGCATGAGTTCAATCCCTGGCCAGGGAGGTGACCCAAATGGTGCGGCAGACCTCTCCTGACTCGCTGCTGCTCTCCTCAGCAGTGTATTTCGGTCAGTCTGCCTGTTCTGTTCCCCACTCTATCTCTGGTGAATCCTCTCAACCTCCTGCACATCTGGCCTGTACCCTGATTCTTGTATAAATATATAAATCTTAAAAAAAAAAAAGAATTAGTGGCAATGATGAATGAAATATGGCTGTAGTTTATTGTGTTGATATTTTTGGTAATGTGCTTCATGTTTTGTTTTGTCTTTTTTTTTTTTAGTCATATGATGTATGACTTTTTCGCCCTTTTTCTTTCCTCTGGCTCTGGTTTCTAATCCTCAGTTTAGCAGACCATACTTGTGCCAACTGAAATAAACAATGTCTAAAAAAAAAATGCTTGGTCAATGGGCCAGTCTTTGAAACATCTCTACTGGCATTGTCTACATCTACACCCACAATAGAGCCCCTCCTTTGTTGCCATGTTATTCCAACCAGTTTCTCAAAGTCTCTAATGGAATACAGTTTATCACAGATGATAGAATTTTATGGAGTCAGATGCTAAATATTTTAGAATATCTGTCCTTATGAACATAACCCACAGAAATTCAGAATTATTTAAGATTTCCTGTATGCTACCATTGCAAAGGAGTGTTTCCTATAGGCAGTCATTCATTCATCTTATATATTATAAAATATACTTGTTTATATATAGCTTATGATTTTTGCTGAGTGGTGCAATCTCAACATAAATGAGTTTCAGAATATTTTCATCTCCCCTTATGCCCATTTATAGTTAATCTCTGTTCCCAAATCTAGCCCCACTAGTCTAATTCCTATCTCTGTAAATATTCCTTTTCTGGACTTTTAACACAAATGATCTTTCACTTAGCATAATTTTCACTTAGCATGATGTTTTTAAGGTCTATCCATGACATAGTATGTGTCAGTAGCTTATTACTTTTTATCGGTGAATAGTATTCCATCATGCATGTGAATAAATACATGCTGCCCATCCATTCTCCAGCTGATGGACCTTTAGGTTATATATAGTTTGAGATTATTACAAATATTGTTGCTATGAACATGCATAGGCAAATCTTTGTGTGAATATGTATTTGCATTTCTCTCTCTTTTTTTTTTTTTTTTTTAAAGATTTATTTATTTATTTATTTATACAAGCACTGGGTACAGTCAGAAGCGCGGGAGGGTGAGAGGATTCACCAGAGCCAGAGCGGGGAGCAGAGCAGGCAGAAGGACCGAAGTACACTGCTGAGGGGAGCAGCGGGCGGCAGGAGAGGTCTGCGCGCCATGTGGGACCCTCCTCCGGTGGCCGGGGAGCAGCTGGGGATCGAACCGGCGTTGCAGAGGCTGCGGGCAGCTTCGTAACCCAGCGCTCAACCGCTGCGCCACCGGGGAGGCCCTCTCTCTCTTTTTTGAAAGATTTATTTATGCATACAAGAACTGAGGTGGGGCCTCCCCTGGTGGCGCAGCTGTTGAGCGCTGGGCTGCGAGGCTGACTGCAGCCTCTGCAGTGCCAGTTCATTCCCCGGCAGCCAGCGAGGGTCCCACAAAAAAAAAAAAAAAAAAAAAAAAAAGAACTGTGGTGTAAGCCAGGGTTACAGGGGGTGAGAGGATACACCAGAGAGAGTGGGGAGCAGAACAGGCAGATCTACTGAAATACACTGCTGAGGGGAGCAGCTGGTGAGCCAGGAGAGGTCTGCTGTACCCTGTGGGTTGCTCCCTGGCTGGATAGGGATCAAACTTGAACTCATGCTGCAGTGGCTGGCGATTGCTTAATAGCAATGTCATTTCTCTTGAATAGATATTTAGAAGTGGAATTGCTGGATTGTAAAGCAGTTTAACATCTAACTTTTTGAGAAATTCTCACATTGTTTTCCAAAGGGAAGTACCATTTCACAGTCCCATCAGCAATTCCACATCCTTGCCAGCACTTGTTGCCTGTCTTATTTATTGTAGCTACCTTGGTGGATATGAAATATATCTTTTTATTTACTTGCATTTTTCTGATGACTAATGATGTTGAGTATCTTTCCATGCACCTTATTTGATGAAATGGCTCTCATTTTTTTTGCCTACTGTTTTACTGTTTTTTTTTTTAATTATTTTTGAGTTGAAAGCATATTTTGTACATTATAGATATAAATCCTTTATCAGATGTTTGGCAAATATCTTCTCAAGTCTGTAACCTATCTTGATTTTCTTAATGGTGTCTTTTGTAGTGCAAAATGTTCTTAATTTTGATGACGTCCAATTTATAATTTTTTATAATGATGGACTGTGATTTGGGTCCAAAAAAGAAATAAGCAAAGTGTAGAAGTTTTAACCTAAAAAATCTTTACCTAACATAGGACCTTCTTCTCTTAAAATTTGCAATGTCTTAGCTGTTACATTTAAATCTTTGCTCTATTTTGAGTTAATTTTGAATTTGGTATGAGTTGAAGGCCTAAGTGGATAACCAGTAGTCCTGGCACATCTGTTGAACAGACTATCCTTTCCCCGCAATGAGTTGCTTTAGCATTTTTGAAAAAAATTAACTAACTAGGGGCCTCCCTGGTTGGCCTAGGGGTTAAGTCTCCGACCTATCAATGCTGCAGCCTGAGTTCGATCCCAGGTCAAGGAGGTGATCCACATGGCTCAGCAAAACTCTCCTGTCACACCCCCTGCTCCCTTCAGCAGTGTATTTCAGTCAGTCTGCCTGTTCTGCTCCCCACTGTCTCTGGTGAATCCCCTCACCTACCACACCACTGGCCTACACCCAGTTCTTCTATGCATAAATAAATAAGTAAATCTTAAAAATAATTAACTATAAATACGAGGACTTATTTCTGGACTCTCAATTCTATAATTCTGTTCAATTAATCTATGTCTATATGTCAGTGTTCTAGGAAATCTTAATGTGGGAAGTTATTAATACATCCTGCAAGCTAACTATGCCTCAAAACTTGAGGATGATAATTAGAAAGTGGAATTCAGACTATTATGAGCTGGTATGGAATTCACCAAGTTCCCTATTCTTGTCTCCTGGAGGTGTATGGTAAAGATGATCCTCTGTCAACTAGGGTCCCTGACTAATCAGCAGAATCCACCTGACAACCCACATTAAGCACTGTAGCTTGAATAAGAAATAAATGTTGTGTCAAGGAATGAGATATTAGGGATGTTACCATAACCTAACCTAATTTATTATAACCTATACAAACTGCACTTCATGTGAGAACTCTGCCTAAAAATCTCCCAAATCATTGATTTGGGACCCACTCCAGGAGTCTGGGTTCGGGTTCCAGTCATAGCTCAGAGCCAGCTCCTCTGTCCAGGCATGTGGTTTATTATCAAGATACACATATTTGCTCACTCCACAAGGAGGAAAGCTTGTCCTCAAGAACCAAATGGCCTGTGGTGGAAATCTCAGCTCTTATGCAGGAAATGGCTTTGGCCATATTCCTTAATTTATATGCCTGTTTCCACATAGGTAAAGTTTTAAGAATAAGTACAAATCTTTTAGAACAGTGCCTGGTGGATAGCACTCTGTGGGTATTAGCTGTTAGTGGGGTACAGCTCTTGCTCTATCCTTTCTAGCCATCCATCTAGAACATGCTGGGCATGTCTGTTCCCTTCTCTTCTGTTGGAGAGATGACCAGAGCAGAATAGTCTACCCTCGGAAGCTTGGCTCCAATTCAAGTGGTGAAATGCTGAGGCTGACTTTAGATTAGCGCTATAGTGAAAAATGATATTGAGAACTATGAATATGTCCAAGGGCAGAAGAATAGTTAAGTATTTGGAAAACTCATAGCAAGTATAAGAGTTGTGACGTGACCAATTCTAACTTTTCAGTCAGTGGGAACTGGGCAGCAAAAGTCACATTCCACTCACATCCAGTAATTCACATGATACATGTAGGGTGACTGGTTTATTAAACTATTGGTCAGCGTTCCCACCCTGGAGCAGGATTGAATATGGAGCTGGGGGCTGAACAGGGATGGCTGGGGATCAGAAGGTAAAAGAGGCTCAGCAGAGAAGACAAAGCAACATCAAGGCTAGGCCGAGCAGAAGAGACCAGGCCCCATGGAGCCCAGTCCCACTCATGGCCTCAGCATAAAACCTGGCCACCTCCTCATTGGGGTTGCCATAATCCGGGTTGAACCACATTTGGATGCAGCGGCCACTCCCTCGGCCATACTTGCTGACCTTGTAGGAGTCACTCCAGACTTTACTGCACAGATCAGCAGGGGTAGGGAAGAAGAAATCAAAGGGCTGGCAGGTAGCTTCCTTTGGGCACTGGTTATACCCTGTAGGGAAGATGGAAGACCTTTAGCCACTGGACCTAGAACTTTCTCTGGTTCCACCAATCCCACAATCCCAAATTTCCATATACCCATTCCATGGCCCCCACTTCCACCTCTAAATCCCTCTCTGTGTGCCACCCAGGTCCTCACCCGAGGACCAGTTCCAGCCCATGTGCCAGTTGCTCTTGCAGGTGTAGGAGGTGCGGCAGTCTTCCCACCATTCCTGGCAATCCTCTTTGCATAATGGCACGTTCAGGACCCGCTCTTTGCGCCAGCTTTGGTCCACCTGGGGGAAGTAGGCAGAGGAAAAGGGCTCAGGCTCAAGATTCTCAGCAACCCACCCCTGAATAGACCCAGAGCTGGAGAGGCAAGAAGACTCAGCTCTCTAAGAATAGGGATGTGGGGGCGCAAGGGATGAAGTCTCAGCACTATGAAGCTATTGCCAGCCACTGCGGCAAGACTGTGGCAAGAGTCTGATCCTGGGGCCTCCCCGGTGGCGCAGCAGTTGAGCGCTGGTTTGCAAAGCTGCCCGCAGCCTCTGCAGCGCCGATTGGATCCCCGGCTGCTCCCCGGCCACAGGAGGAGGGTCCCGCATGGCGCGCAGACCTCTCCTGCCGCCCGCTGCTCCCCTCAGCAGTGTACTTCGGTCCTTCTGCCTGCTCTGCTCCCCGCTCTGGCTCTGGTGAATTCTCTCACCCTCCCGCGATTCTGATTGTACCCAGTGCATGTATAAATAAATCAATCAATCAAAAAAAAAAAAAAAAAAGGTCTGATCCTGGCCAGGGAGCTACCCACATGGCGCAGTAGACCTCTCCTGTCTTGCCCACTGCTCCCCTCAGCAGTATTTCAGTCAGTCTGCCTGTTCTGTTCCCCACTCTGTCTCTGGTGAATCCTCTCACCCTGCCCCCATACTTCTGGCCTGCACCCCAACTCTTGTATGAATAAATAAATAAAATATTTTTTAAAAAGAATAGAGGGCATCCCCTGGTGGCGCAGCGGTTGAGCGCTAGGCTGCGAAGCTGCCTGCAGCCTCTGCAGCGCCTGTTAGATCCCCAGCCGCCAGGCAAGGGTCCCACATGGCGCGCAGACCTCTCCTGCCGCCCGCTGCTCCCCTCAGCAATGTACTTCGGTCCCTCTGTCTGCTCTGTTCCCAGCTCTAGCTCTGGTGAATTCTCTCACCCTCGGCGCTTCTGACTATACCTGGCGCTTGTATAAATAAATAAATCTTTAAAAAACAAAAAAATAGAGATGTGGGGGAGGACACTGGTACCTGATGGATCCAAGGCCCCAGGTTGGGGGAGCACTCATACAGACAGGTGTCCTGGATGAAGTGCTTTTTGCACTCAGGTGCCATTTTGCCACAGTGGTCCCAATTGAATCTATACAGGTAGGAAATATCCTTATGGGCTTCCTGGCTGGTGTTGACAGAGCAGCAGGCATTATCCTTCCAGGGACTGCACTGGACAGGGAAGACACAAGACTAACTCCCATGCTCAGCACAGCCAGAATATTTTCACAGACAGCCACTTCCCTTTCATCCTTCATCCCCTGATGCAGTCTGAGTCTCTCAGAGAAATACTTGCTGTTGAGGGAAGAAGTTCTCTGAGGCTGAGGAGCCCCCCGTGGCCAGAAGTGCAATCATCACAAAAATTCATTCATTCAAATCTGTATTGAGTTCCCACTTTCTGGAACACAGGCACCTTTCTAGGAACTGGGACACAATCATGAACATTTATCATAATAGCTTTGGAAAAAAATAAATCAGGAAAGGGAGGGGACAGTGTAGTTTATAGAATGATGAGAGTAAGCTTCATTGAGGAGACAGTGAAGACTTAGAAGAGGTGAGAAAACGTGTTAAATAACTAATAGAGACTCAGTACATTCTTACTGAATGAATGAAAAAACTCAACCTAGACTTTAGTATCAGAGCAAATTAATAACATGAGTACTTTTATCTGTTAATTAGGTCCAAATGAATATTTGCATATTATAATACATATTACAAGTGACTTTCCTTTTGTTTTTCTTTACAGTTAATGGCATCTACTGATTTTTTTTTTTTTTTCAAGAGAGGCTCTGGATATTAAAGGGGTTGGCAAAATCATTGTCATAGGAAGGAGACTGCAGGTCTAATAGGGTGAAGAAACCCAGGGGAAATGTTCACTGGATGAATGAGTTAAGATGCCTGACACCCAATCTCATAATTGTGAGAGATCCACTTTTCTTGAGCTGTGTGAGGCTGGCAGAAGAGGAGCCTGGATGTGCAGAGTGCACTCTCTCCTCTCAGATCCTCAAAATCAACCCCCAAGATGGGGGCTCCACTTTCATTTTCCAGATCCCCTCTGGCTGTCCTTCCTGATGTGTGTGATACGGAAACCCAACGACCAGGAGTTGAGCTGCTGGCATTGTACAGACAACACTTGGCACACACTGTTAAGCAGTCACCCCTATTGGAGCAAACTGGAGGTCTCCTCAGGCGTCCTTGCATGCCTCAGCCATGGAGGGAGCTGATGCTTCCATCTCCTGCTTTCCTCAACTTGATTCAGCTCCCCGCCTCTCCCCCCACCCCAGCACCTTCTGCCCACCTGCTCATGCAGCTTGTCCTCAGGGCCTGGTTTTTTCTTGTGGTGCTTGGCATCCATGCAGATGTTGAGAAGGTCCGTCCTTAAATCACTAGCCCACACCACTGCCACCCACGCCAGAAGGAACAGCAGTCCTGTTCTCCGCTGCCGGGCCATGTCAGTCCCTGAAGGAAAAGCCCTGGTCGGTGGCACCTAGGAATGTGGAGGTGGGGCCACAAAGTGTGGGAAGAGCCCCAGGTGGGCGGAGCCTGGATGAAGCCTGAGCAGACCAGGCCATACCGCCAGCCCCACAGGCCTTGGCTGCAGCCTCACTGACTTTTCCACGTGGTCTAAGGATCAAGTGATGCAACTAAGGATTAGAATTTGGGCAAAATGCTGAAATAGCCAGGTTGTACTAGGTCTATAATCTATTCTCAGAAATCCGTGGAGGCAAATGTGTCCACATTCAAAATTTTCAGGCTTTTATAAAAGGTAATACAAAATAAGATGATATAATTTAATTGCATTCAATAATCAAGGTCACATTCTGTGGTGAAAATTTCTTTTAAAGTTTATTTTGTTTATTTATGCATACAAGAGCTGGAGTGCAGGCCAGAGGAGCAGGGGTGGTGAGAGGATTTACCAGCAGAACAGGCAGACTGACTGAAATACACTGCTGAGGAGAGCAGTGGGGGAGACAGGAGAGGTCTGTTGCACCATGTGGGTTAACTCCCTGGCCAGGGATTGAACTCGTGCTGCAGTGGCTGCTGATAGTTTCATAGTGCTTAACTCCTTGTGCCACTAGGGAGGCCCAAGTGGTGAAATATTTATACTAGTGGGATAAATTCAAAGCTATAATGGAGGATAAGAGTGGAAAACTGGAAAGGAGTCATCACAAGACTCACATAAAGAGGTGGGGGTAGAAGGGATTAACATAGCCATTAATCCAGCTATAGAAACCATCAGACTGCTGAGCCTCCTCAGAGCTGTTGGTTGAGCGCTGGGTTGCGAAGCTGCCCGCAGCCTCTGCAGCACAGTTCGTTCCCCGGCCACCAGAGGAGGGTCCCACATGGCGCACAGACCTCTCCTTCTCCCCTCAGCTGTGTACTTCCGTCCTTCTGCCTGCTCTGCTCCCTGCTCTGGCTCTGGTGAATTCTCTCACCCTCCCGCGCTTCTGACTGTGCCCAGTGCTTGTATAAATAAGTAAACATTTAAATAAAAAAAGAAACTATCAGACTGCTGTAGGGAGTGTCAGGAGCACAGACCTGAAGGTGAAAGGAACAAGATTAAGGAACAAATGATTCACCCACAAAGATGAGCCCCTCCCTACTGAAAGAAGATGATAAAACCTAACAGAGGTGTGGGGGCGTAAGAGGATTTGTTGTAGAAATAAATTCTGCTTTTTACCCAGGCAGAGAAAAAACAAGCGGTACTTTAGGAATGGTGAGGTCAGGAGAAGCTTTATTACTCATGCATGAGGTCCCAGACCTGGGTAGCCCTGTAAAGTCTGAGTACCTGTTTAAAGACCAAGAGTTCCTTTTATACACAACTGTGTCTGTATCTGTTACATTGATAACATCGTTTTTTTCCAGCACGCACAACCATTTGTGGCAAAGTCCCCAGGCTAGGGGGGAAAGATTCAGGCATTCGGGGATGGCCTTGGAGAGACAGACCAGCTTGGCCGGCTGCCTGACCTTGTCTATAAGAGTGCTGAGGCCCTGGCCATAAATCTTGAAAGGGAAGGAACTGTAAGTAAGCAAAGTTGTTGATTATGCTTGCGTTGGAGTGTTCATTGCACCTGGGCTGGAAGTTCTGCTGGAATCTTTATTATATTCATTTCCTCAATAATATATTTTTGCTTCAGATTCACCAGAGACAGAGTGGGGAACAGTACAGGCAGATTGACTGAAATACACTGCTGAGGGGAGTAGCGGGCGAATCAGGAGAAGTCTGCTGTGCCATGTGGGTTGGTCCCTGGCTGGCCGGGGATCGAACTCATGCTGCAGTGGATGCAGGTAGCTTCATAGGTTGCGTCTTAACTCTTTGCGCCACCAGGGAGGCCCAAACCTGCTCTTTTAAAATATAACTAACATCTCTTGCCTGGGAAATTCACTGTGTGCCGCTGAGAGGGGAGTTCTGGTAAAATCTTTACCAGAGTGAACCCAAGGACCCAGCTCTCCAAACCCACTGATCCCAAAAACAACATCAGCTTCACATATTTTCAGGTCAGATTTTGATGCTAAATGACTTTGATTAAAGTTTACCGTAATAGAAGCTCCAGATAAACTACAGACCTATGTTTTAAAAAGTCTTTGCTCCAGTCCTTCCCCCCTTTATTATTTGACCTCTGCCAGGGCACCTGAGAGATGTCCCAGGGCAGAAGCTTAGGGTGGGTGTGGGCAGACAGTGAAGTAGCCCTGGAAACTTGAGAGGCTCCTGAATACCCTGCCACATAGCTGGTCGGCCACGCCTGCACCTCAGTCTTCTGACCTCAGAATCTGAGCTTTGGGACATATCTGCTCCCTCACCCCACTTAGTGCATGACTCTCCAAAAAAAGCTTTTGTTTCCCACAGCTCCTCTCTTGCTGACTCATTCTCAAACCCTTTCTCCAAACAAGTCGCTAGTTACCCCACCCTCCAGGGCTCTGGCAAATCTGGAGATGAATGGGCTTAGCTTTCCCCTCTTTCTTCTCCCCACCTGAGCCCCACACTCTTACATCACATAATGCAAATCTTCTGCTCTTTTTATTCAGTGTTTATTCTCTCATTTGCTGGTTCTTCCATTCCAGGATCCAATCACCCTTCCATTGACCCAATACTCACTGATTTCTGGGAGCCCAGGACCGATCTCAGGTACATCAGGTGGTTCTTCTAATAAGGCTCCTTTGGGTAACAGTCTAGTGGCTTAAACCAAGAATTCATATCAACCTGTCCGTATCCTAGCCTTCACACTCCACTTCCTGTTTGAGCTTGAGGGAAAACAATTCATATAATCTTGAGGCTTCATTTACTCATCTGAGGATTACATGCAGAGGGGGGCCCTGCAAATAATAGCTGGATTAATCTATATGAAATCAAGTGGGCATAGACTAAGGGATGTGCCTTAGTCCCACTGTTACAGGGCAGCCCCGATACAAAACGGGTTGCCTGACTGTGGGTCCTCACCCGTGGGCTTAAAAGGACTTATCAATACTCTACTGCAGGCACACACGAAAGGTTAATAAAAGGTTTATTTACAAGGGAAGGGGAGTGTTTGCTTCGGCAGCACATATACTAAAATTGGTACAAGGGAAGGGGAAATGAGGAAATGTACAACTCAGGGAGAAAAGTAGGAGATAAAGTCTTAAATGCGTCCTACCGATCCGCCGATCTGGAATCCCAAATGGCACTCTGAGAGCTGGCCGCGAGCCAGGAGCTGTGAAGCCAGGAGGCAAGCAAGAGAGAGAGACCCCAAGGCCCACATGTTTGGTTTTTATACCAAACCTGGCTGCTTAACTCCACCCTCAGGTCCCAGCCAACTTCCCTTTGGTGGTGATGGGATTTGTCTTTCCCAATGTCTTGATGGCTTTGGTCTGGAGTGGGGGTGGAGTCCACAAAGCCTGTATGGGATTAGCTCAGGACATCCTTTCCCCCTAACACCACGGCAAGAGACCATACAAGTGAGCCTCAGGACCCTCAAGTGCAGAGCTCATTCAGTTTTGACTCCTGCACCTTTGCTGTGCTAAGGCTTTCACAGGCCAGTTCCACTGCAGGAGTCCCGGGAGCCACAGAAGAAGACTTTTCCCCCTGTTCTGATGAATCCTGTCTTCTGTTATCATTTTCTAAGGATAAAAACTAAACTCCAACTTCATGACCAGAAGGCAAGTTTGGGAAGCTTGCATAGATAAGGGGATTGATAAGGTTGCCTTGGGAACTGGGCCATAAGACTGACCAAGATGACCAGAAGAACCAGCCCAGTTCTAGGAATGTGGAAGCAGGGTCAAGACACATTCTGTGTCAAAGGTCAATGCCCAAGCCCAGACATTCCAGCAGATAACTGGTGCAAATTGATGCCCCAAGTACGAAAAACAGAGAAAACAGACTATAAAAGAGAGCCTCAAGCCTTGCCCCCTTGCAGGATATTTCAATAAATTCACCTTTCCTGTTCTCCACTCTGTCTCTGGTGAACTTTCATCCCAAGCCTCCAGCCAATACAAGGGTTTCCCCGCAACATCTGGTGGCCCGCCTGGAGAAATCGGGTATGGATATCTCTGATTCCTTCTCTCAGTTTCATGTTCTCTGGTGAACTGTGAGGAAAGCTCAGAGCCAAAAGCACCCACAAGGACCACGGTAGCACGACTGGATGGAGAACAGCCTTTTCTTCCTTTGGCATCCCCGGTGGACTGTTTAGCTTGGGTACAGCAAGCTGGGTCTGGCCTGGCACCCCCAGGTGCCCATGAAAGTCCCACAGCTGGGCAGTCCACCTCATTCCGGACTGTGGTCTCCTTCGCTTTCCTCCTTTTTGCCTTTCCTTTGTGACCTGCGATTGATTTTACTTGCTCCAGATGGTGACCCACAGCTCCTGAACCTCTGCTTGGCATTGGTCATCTAGGACCCAACGTTCTATATCCAGTGGAGAAGGTTGTGTTATAGGACAAGGAGAGGGGCTCCTGGGGACCACCCTGTTACAGTTTCAGTGAGAAATCAGACCCCTAATGGGGACTACACCTCAGGGGGTGGGGAGGAGAAAATATTGTTTAAAAATGAACAACAATGTAAAAATTTTAAAAAAATTTTTTTTAAAAAGATAAAAAAAAAATAAAGTCAAGCCAGAAGGGGAAAAAAAAAAGAAAAAAAAGAAAGGTTATGTTTTGATTGTCAAAAAAAAAAAAGAAAGAGAGAAATCAGACCCCTAGTTCTGATAGGGGAAAGGATGTCCTGAGCAAACTCCATACAGGCTTTGTGGACTCCACCCCTGCGACACTGGGAACTACGAATCCCATGATCACCAAAGAGAAGGTTGCAAGGACCTGAGGGCAGAGTTAAGCAAGTAGGCTCTCGGTTTGGGTAATTAAGTGGCCATGTGGCTGGGGGTAGTGGGCTTGGCCACGAGGCATGCTCGTTTTTTTTGTCAGCTCGGTGGGTCATTGGGATTCCAGGTCGGGGGAACGGGTAGGACACATTTGCGAACTTATCTCCCTCTTTTTTTCCCTGAGTTATTTCTTTCCCAGTTCCCCTTCCCTTGTAAATAAACCTTTTATTAACCTTTGTGTGTGCCTGCAGTTGAATATTAGTAAGTCCCTTTTAAGCACACGGGTGAGGACCCACAGTCAGGCAACCCCATTTTATATCAGGGTTTGCCCTGTAACAGCTTGGTGCCCAATGTGGTTTCCAAGTTACACCCGTGGTTGACCAGCCCAAAGTAACTTTTCTTTGCAGGCAACCCCATTTTAAATTGGGGTTTGCCCTGTAACAGTTCCTGTGGGGAAACCCCAAACCATAGGGCCATTCACTGCTCAGACCCCTAATTCCCTGGAAGGAAGCCCTCAGACCGCAGGGTCACCTACTTGTCATTACAGATACTCCCTTTGTTGCTAAGGATAATGGGACAATCTACCTCAGCGCCACAGGACTGGCTCAGGCTGCATTCTTAGAAACCAGAGCGAATTTGATTCTCAGACTCTAAAAAATAAACACCTAGTCTTTTTTTGTGATACTGCCTGGCCCCACTATGTGTCTGCCAGCTTCCATTTGTAAGGCACTGAAGCTTCCTTTTGTCTACCTTGAGATATGTTACTGGTCTGTTCCATGGGTAAGAAATTCTATTTTCCCTAAGTCTTCCTAGTCTTGAAAAGTGTACAGTGATTAAGGTAAAAATGTTAGTGGGCAGATTGAGGACACTCTGAGATCCCCAAACCTAGCATGCTTTAAATGGTTTCTGCCATCTGCTGCATAAAGACAGTGTAGCTTAGTGTGTAAGACTTTAGTGTGCAGTAGAGAGAACAGAAGAGAAAAGATATAGTTTCCCAATGAAACACCCAGAGTTACCCATCCTCTCATGGGGATGCACAGCCAAATAGGGGCCACTGAGGCCCAAAAGCTTGCAAGATGTCCCTGTTAGGAAAGGGGCAGAAGAGGCCAGGCAAGTCTGGAAGGAAAAGGAGGAAATCAAAGTATAAGTCAAGATAAAGTCTGCCATTGTCAGCCTCCCCACAGGCCTCACTCAGGTCTCTTTCAAGTGTCTCCTTCCATGTTCCCCAAGTCTCTAGCACAGTCCAAGACAGAGGAACAAGTATAGGTTCTTCAGATGTCTCTTTTCCACACGCCTCCTCCAAGTCTTCTAAGTCCTCTCTCCAACACTCCTTTTTATCTTCCCCTCAGGGCTCAGCTTCACCCTTTTATTAGATGGGGTAGGGAATATGGAACTCCTCCTTTTTAGATTATACTGCTACAAAAATTATTAAATTACTTTGGATTTGGGGGCCTCCCTGGTGGAGTAGGGGTTAAGTTTCGGCACTATCACCACTGTACCCTGATTTCCATCTTTTTTATTATTATTTTTTTAATAGAGGCATGTTTTTATTTTTATTTATTTGTTTGTTTTGTTTATACATGCACTGGGTACAGTCAGAAGCGCAGGAGGGTGAGAGAATTCACCAGAGCCAGAGCGGGGAGCAGAGCAGGCAGAAGGACCGAAGTACACTGCTGAGGGGAGCAGCGGGCGGCAGGAGAGGTCTGCGCGCCATGTGGGACCCTCCTCCGGTGGCCGGGGAGCAGCCGGGGATCGAACCGGCGCCGCAGAGGCTGCGGGCAGCTTCGCAACCCAGCGCTCAACCGCTGTGCCACCGGGGAGGCCCTGATTTCAATCTTTGGCCAGGGAACTGACCCACATGGCTCAGCAGACCTCTCCTGTTTCACCTGCTGCTCCCCCCAGCAGTGTATTTCAGTACATCTGCCTATCCTGCTCCTCACTCTCTGTCACCACCTGCACCTCTGGCCCAGTTCTACACACACACACACACACACACACAAGTATATTGAAAGAGAACTTAGTTAAATGGGTATATCAAACTTAATGGCTAAAACCTTTAAAGTTATTTGAGGTTGGGGCCTCCCTGGTGGTGCAAGGGGTTAAAACGCAACCTATGAAGTTATTTGCAGGCACTGCAGCACGAGTTTGATCCCTGGGCAGGGAGCTACCCACATGGCACAGCAGACTGCTCCTGACTTGCCTGCTGCTCCCCTCAGCAGTGTATTTCAGTCAATCTGCCTGTTCTGCTCCCCACTCTGTCTCTGCTGAATCCTCTCCCCCCCCCCATACCTCTGGCCTGTACCCCAGTTCTTGCATGCATAAATAAATAAATCTTAAAATAAAGAAATAAATAAACAACTAAAGTTATTTGAGGTTATTAGACTATCTTTGCTCTAAAATGGGCATGGTGGGCCTCCCTGGTCACACAAGGGGTTAAGTCTTAGTACTATCACTATTGCCAGCCACTGCAACATTAATTCTATCCCTGGCCAGGGAGCTAACCCACATGGTATAGCAGACCTCTTCTGTCTCACTCTCTGTTCCCCCTCAGAAGTGTATTTCAGTAGCTCTACCTGTTCTGCTTCCTACTCCATCTCTGGTGAATCCTCTCACACAACCCCCCAACCCCCACAACCTCTGGCCTACACCTCAGTTCTTATATGCATAAATAAATAAAATAAATAAATAAAATGGGCATAGCTCTGTCCAAAACTGTCCACCCATGCAAAATCTCTTTAGAAATTTAGTGAAGAAAATGTGGTTTTAGGAAACTAATGTAAATCTTCTGCCCAACATTCTTTGAAGCAAAAGGATTATTTCTTAGAAATATAAACTAAAGGAATGTTTTCTATATGAAGGAGTTAGTAAAGAACAACTTAGAAACTGAATCAATGGAAGTTTTCATTATCTTTGTAACTATCTGTAAAATAACTATTTCTTAAAATTAGTACACATAGCCAAAATTTTAAATGAAAATCACGATCTCTGTGTCTTTGTTTGCATTTATGTCTCTTACCTCTGGAGGTTTATTATATTAGGATTCTGCTGCAGCAGATGATGGGATTAATGCAGGGACTCACTGATTCCCCAGTTCTGATTACAGCAACTTCAGGTGTCTGGGACACTACAGTCCCAGGACAAGATAAGATTGCCATACCTGTTACAGAGCAATGCAAGGACCTTCATATCCTCCCTAGGAAGCCACAAAGCCCGAAAGCCCGAAGACTACAACCTCTTAGGTCTTTTTAAGATGCTGAATTCTTGGGCCTCCCCGGTGGCGCAGCGGTTGAGCGCTGGGTTGCGAAGCTGCCCGCGGCCTCTGCGGCACCGGTTCGATACCCGGCTGCTCCCCGGCCACCAGAGGAGGGTCCCACATGGCGCGCAGACCTCCCCTGCCACCCGCTGCTCCCCTCAGCAGTGTACTTCTGTCCTTCTGCCTGCTCTGCTCCCTGCTCTGGCTCTGGTGAATTCTCTCACCCTCCTGCGCCTCTGACTGTACCCAGTGCTTGTACAAACAAACAAATAAATTAATAAATAAATAAATCATGCCTCTATTAAAAAAAAAACAAAATTAAGATGCTGAATTCTTAACCTTTTTGTTTAGTTTCATCTCATCTGCAGGCCATCAAATTACAGCTTCCAGTCATGGAATTTTTTTTTTTTTTCAGTCATGGAGTATTGAGACCTACAGGCACAAACGACTGCAGAACACATGGACCTTCTCACTTGGGCAGCACATTTCGGTGAATCCCTCAAAACAACACAAAGTAGCTAAAATTGACCCTGATCTGAAAACACAAGCGTGCCCTTTTGCACCCTTTCCCTACTTGCCCCTAGATAATAATCTAAGTAGGGCCATCTCATGCCCCAAAATTCGACTTGAAGCAACTACATAAGCCAGCCCTTCACCCCCCATCCAAAGATTTGTCATTATCTGCTCTGGAGAGGGGAGAAAGAAGAGGGCGAAATGTTGGGGTATCATTTTTTGAGGTTAAATACTAAGCCCCCACTCCTTGCCCAGAGGCAGGTTTGGGAAGCTTGCATAGATAAGGGGATTGGTATGGTTGCCTTGAGAACTGGGCCATAAGACTGACCACCATGACCAGAAAAACTAACCCTGCTCCCAGAATGTGGAAACAGCCAGGCCACATTTTGTTTCAAAGGTCAACGCCCAAGACCAGACATCCCAGCAGATAATTGGTGCCCCAAATAAGAAAGCCCCTGAAAACAGAGTATAAAAGAGAGCCTCAAATACCTATTCGTGTGCAGACAACCTCTCCCATCTTGCCCACTGCTCCTCTCAGCAGTGTATTCAATCCATCCACCTTTCCTGTTTTCCATTCCATCTCTTGTAAATTCTTTCACTCTAGCACCTCCAGCCAGCACACTAATTTCCCTACAACCCTACCCTATCGGTAGTTTTTTTTTGCCATGGCTATTTTCTAGAAGCCAGAGTTCTCTTTCTTTCCAGGTAACCTACATCATGCTTCAAAACCCATCTCACCTTCCTATTCTCAGCTTCAGATTTAGTCTAGTTTTGACCCCCAACAACAACAGCTGTCATCCTGCTCCCAGATTTAAAGCACCAAGAACTCAGTGCTGTGCTGAAGGCTGGAGCTTTGGGCTGTAGTTGGGGTGTGGATGCTAATGTGTAGCTTAACCTTGGGCAGGCCATGCTCTGGTCTGGGCCTCAGTCCCCACTTCTCTCTTCTCTGCACTTTAGGCAATTCAATCCTCCCAGTTCGGCAACTCCTTTAAAACATGAGGGAAGGGGCCTCCCCGGTGGCGCAGCGGTTGAGCGCTGGGTTGCGAAGCAGCCCGCAGCCTTTGCAGCTCCGGTTCGATCCCCGGCTGCTCCCCGGCCACCGGAGGAGGGTCCCACATGGCCCGCAGACCTCTCCTGCCGCCCGCTGCTCCCCTCAGCAGTGTACTTCGGTCCTTCTGCCTGCTCTGCTCCCCGCTCTGGCTCTGGTGAATTCTCTCACCCTCCCGCACTTCTGACTGTACCCAGTGCATGTATAAATAAACAAACAAACAAACAAATAAATAAATAAATAAATAAATAAATAAATGCCTCTATAAAAAAAATAAAAAAAAACATGAGGGAAGGACCTTAGGGTATATTGCCTCTGATCCGAGTGGGAAGTGGCATACCTGGGAGAGGAGGTAGTGCTCAGTCTGGCTCAGGCTCTGCTCTGCTCTGCAGTCTCCCTTGCCTTGCTCCAGAGGACAACTTGGTTTAGTGGCCTAGGAGACGGGCAGGAGGGCAGGAGTGGGAATGTAGCCCAGGAGTGGAGCTTGGAATTGGGCGAAGGCCACTCAGCAGTTAATTATTGCACGTGGGCACCAGCCAGGCCTCCACAGGAGAGGGATGAGTAGGAGGGGCTGGATTAATAGCTCAGGGCTAAGGCAAATCTGCAAGCCCCACTTACCCTGCTACTTCCCAAAAGTTCAGGTCTAATAAAACCTTGCAGCCTGAATTGCGGGGATCCTTTAAAATAATCCATTCCACTTACAACACCTCTGTCCTGTTATACAGGCCCAGAGAATCAGGTCAGAGCCAAATAGAGGTGAAGGACTAGACTGCATATTTCTAACCTCCCTGCCAGATGTAGAGGGCAAGGAGTATCCATGTTCCCAAGTCTTCTTTAAGGGAGCAAAAATCTGCTACCCCAAAACACGTCTTTTGCGTGAGGTTTATTTCATGGGAAGGGCTTTGAAGTCTGAGTGAAAGTTGTTTTTGATGTTTATCTCTAAACTTCTCTCTGCCTGGGTCTTTTCCAGGAAGACCTAACACCTTTGTTTTCCCCAGTAAATACCCTGATTTTGCCTTTCTTCCCCCAACTTCTCTTGTCCTAGCTAAAGTATTTAAGATGGCATCTAAGGCTATGTGGCCCAGTTACTCAGTCATCTGGGGTCTCTCTCAGTTGTACAGGAGGTATACATGTTGTTATTCAATGTCTCTATGACTTTTTCTCATCAGTCTGTCTGATGCTTGATTGATTGTTTTTCAGCCTAGAGAAGCTGAAAAATGATTTCCTTTGTGCCCTAACACCTCCAACCTCGTCAACCCCAGGCACTGTCCAAATCCAGTTACAAAGTCACAGACATTCTTATGCCCTCAGTTGTTCCGAGTCCTCAGTTCCCGTTACTCACTCACCTATTCTGTAACAGCTGAGAGTCTTATTAGACTCCCTCACCCCAGCCAGGACAAAAGCCTTCTTTTTTCAGCCTCTGAGAGCGGGGAAGTACTACTGGAGGGAGAAGGGGGGAGGAGAGGAGCCGATTCTGGCAGGAGGAAATGCTGAGCTCCGTATTTCCAGTGCCTGTGTGCCACAGGGAGGTGGTTATAGAGGCAAAAGCCCTGGAGAAAGGTCTAGGATGCAGATGTGGAGCTGTTGATGGAAATTTAGAGTAGAAAAATTGAGGATGGAGGTTTTCACAAGGTCAAAATCCAGAGGTGGGGATAGGTGAAGGATCTTAAACTGGCTATGGAAGTTTGCAGGATTCTGAGGCAGAGGCAGAGAGGATTATCAGTTCCAGAAAGCCAATGCACCCCGACCCCAAGGTAGTAAATTCTAATTTCAAACAAAGCATGAATGTTTACTGGATGTCCCTTGTTCTGGCAAAACACAAATCTTGTCCTTTAAGACTGCCTGTCTGTGCCTATGCAGGTATCTCCCCGTTTCTTTTCTCTGTTTCCTTAGTCAACCTCCCCTGTGCTGCTGAACTGGGGATGTCTGCTGAATTCACTCTCAAAGAGACCCAAGAACCCCACTCATCTGAACCCAAACACCCATCAGCCTATGGATGGCAGCAGAAAACCAGGGGAGATGAGGTCCAAGACACTGGGAAAGGCTCTCCACCCCACTTGCACCGCCATCCTGGACATGAGCCACGTGTAGCCCCTCAAGCTGGCCAGGGTCACCAAGGTATCAGGTAGGGCCAGCTCGTAGGGTCAGTGCACACAGGTATGCATGGAACTCGCAGACGACACAAGTCACTCCATCACCTGCCACACGAAAGGCCCTGTGTTTTTGTTTTTTTTTTTTTAAAGGTTTATTTATTTATGCATACAAGAGCTAGGGTACAGGCCAGAGAAGCGGGGTGGGGGGTGGTGGTGAGAGGATTCAGCAGAGACAGAGTGGGGAGCAGAACAGGTAGATCTACTGAAATACACTGCTGAGGGGAGCAGCAGGCAAGTCAGGAGAGGTCTGCTGCACCACGTGGGTTGCTCCCTGGCTGGCCGGGGATCGAACTCATGGTGCAGAGGCTGCGGACTTCTTCATAGTGCAGTGCTTAACCCCTTGTGCCACCAGGGAGGCCCCAAGGCCCTATTCTTGAGGGTGAGTGCTCACCCTTTTGGAATAGAGCAAGAAGCTCAGAGGCTGCACTGAACTTGGTGCTGGGTCCTGGATGATGTCTGGGTTGACTATCTGGCCCCCATGGAATAACCTGACACTGTAATAAGCCATTTATATTGTGTGTTTAAAAAAAAAAAGAGGACCTGCCCTGGTGGCGCAGGTGGTTGAGCGCCACACTGTGAAGCTGTACGCGGCCTCTGCAGTGCTGGTTTGATCCCAGCCGGCCAGTGAGGGTCCCACATGGCACAGCAGACCTCACCTGTCGCGGCCACTGCTCCCCTCAGCAATATATTTCGTCAGTCTGTTCTGTTCCCCGCTCTGTCTCTGGTGGATCCTTTCATCCTCCTGCGCACCTGGCCTGTACCCTGGTTCTTGTATAAATAAACAAATCTTAAAAAAAAAAAAAAAGAGAGAGAGAGAGAGAGACCCTTGAAAGGCCATAGGCCTGGGTCCACAGAGCAGATCTGCTGTAGGAGAATCAGCCAAGATGGAAGGCCTGATGGCTTGCCAAGTAATGGACTCCCAGAAGACCCCAGATCATTCCCTGCTTTTCCACACCCCCCCCCCAGAGTGAGCTTCACCTGAATCCTGTTACAACTTCAGAACCTTAAGCCCTCTGACCACCTCAGTAAGTAGAGGGCCACTGAAACCCTCAGACCTGCCTCCTGGCTTTATATGCTCAGCTCTGCCTTCTTCGGATTGGAGAAGAGTGGATGGATGTGAAGGAATTCCTCTAAGTGGGACTTATGGCTGCCCCACATGCTCCACCCTCACTCCAGGAGTGATAAAGGACTAGTCTCTTGGCCCCTTCACCACAGGAGTGAGGTTAGAAGGTGAATTGGAGATGGATTCTGACCTGAGAAGTCCCTGCTCTTGTTGAGTCTCATTCCTTACTCTGAATCTCAGATGGATGCTAGGACCAGCTGCCTGACAAGAAGGGGCAGGTTCAGGCCCGCAGCTTAGGCCAATCCTGAGACTCTCTGCTAGACCAGAAATTTAATACTAGCTACATTAGCCATGGACATACTTTTGCCAAATCTGAAGGCTGCCCTGTGGCCATGCAAAAATAACAGAAAGGTATTTGAGGGGCATGTGTCAAGGGAGAAGACTCTGGACTACAGGAACTGGGGGTAGGAAGCCAGAGCTTGAAGTGGGTGCCAGCCCATGGCACACACTATCACACACCCATCCTCACAGCTGTAGAACTTTCACTTCCTAGTCAGCAACTGGAGCTAGATTCAGATCTGCATCTGAATCCAAGCCTGGTTTATTCATTCACTTATATTTTTATTTTTATTTTATTTTATATATTTTTTACATCATTTTTCATTTTTGCACAATGTATGCATTTTCATCTTGGTTATAGTCCCCATACAATTCCCACCCCCCTCCAAGCCTGGCTTCTTGCAGGAAGAGTTGCTGAATACCTCTATGCAGGACCCTCAGGCATCAGCCTAGGATTACAGACCTTTTTTCCATACCACACCCTCTTAACTTCTTATCTACCTAGAAATTCTGCTGGCTTGGCTCCAAGCCTTTGCACTTGCTGAACCCTCTCCTCTGTTCCTCTGGCCAATTTCTGCTTGGCAAACAGTGGTCCTATGGAAGACTTCCCTAAACTCTTTGGGCTTCAGCAGAACTACCTCACACTTTGTGCTTCCATCTAGCAAAGCCTTGGCTCATTGTTCTCAGAGTTATTGGTTCTCAGGTCTGCTTGTCCCCCAGACTCAGTTCCCTTACTGTGGGTTGAGGCCAGTAGATTGGGTGCTCAGGAGGCATCTGCTGACTGGCCACACAAGCACATGGATTCCTTACCTTCCTGAGCACCTTCTCTGTGCCAGGCCCTGGGCTGCCACAAAATGATGTTGACTTGGCCCTTGCTTTCAAACATGTTTTGTTGGGGAAAACCAGACAATAAGATTGATAGATGGATCTCAATACAAGGAGACTCGAGTGATCTGCTAAGAAAACACCTGGTGATTTCTTTGGTGGGTGGTTAGAAGTTTGAGAGGAGAGGAAGATTATAGGTTGAGACCTAAGTGGGTTTCAAGGAGCCAGACTTCAGAAGATGAATTCCAGGAATACAGGGAAGAAATAGCTTGGGTAAAGGTCCCAAAGTGAAAGCTGTGATGGGAGCGCATATGGAGGTGTGGGGGGGAGTTGTTACAGAACGCTCAACCCTAAGTGGCAGGTTCAAGACCCTGAAGAAGATTTCACCATTGCCATGGCTGAGCCAGACAAGGTTTATTAAGGCAGAAGGGAGGCATCCCCAAGAAAGAGGTCTCAGGCTGGCTCCCCAAAGGGATTTTGTGGTGGATTTTTAAGCTGTTTTCAGCATTAATCCACAGATCTTATCTCTCACTTCTGAGGCCATCAGGATTTTTCAGAGCATGTCATGTGTAGTGTTCTTGTGTTTAAACATAGGTCACATGACAGTCAAGGCTGCTTGTAAAACCTATGGAATGCTTCTTATGCCTGAGAGGGGTAATTAATCACTAGTAAACAAAGCATATGTGACAGCCTTTAATTGGTGAAGCAAGCACTACACACAAAGGATGGTAAAAACAATGGTAGAGTTAGAACAAAGTCTATGTTAACCTATAACCAGGTTAATTAGAAGATTATATCTTTTCTGTTTTTATGTCTTTTCTGTGTGGTTGGTTTAAACCTGCTGACCCGCCATTACATATCCTCCTGTACCAGAATGATTTGACATGAGTTCTGGTGGTGATGGGCAGGGTCTTGTATGCCGATGAAGAAGCTTGGTTTCTCCAATAGATACCATGGGAAAGCATCAAGGGGTTAAGGAGGGACCTAGTAAGGTTTTTTTTTTGTTTTTACTGTAAAAAAAATGTTGAGGGTGGGCCTCCCCGGTGGCGCAGTGTTTGAGCGCTGGGTTTCGAAGCTGCCCAAAGCTGCCTGCAGCCTCTGCAGTGCCGGTTC